GGTGAAAATCCTATGAACTTGGGTAATCTTGGTTGTGGGAGCAGCCACGTGCATGACAAAGCATGCTGGAATAAACGACAATCACACAAAGCCCAATGAGCCCCTGCCATGTCTCACCATCTCTGTCTCCTGTTTTCTTTCTGCAAACAAACTCTTCCTCCATCCTCTCCCCCCAGGCTCCTTCACCGGCAGCGCGAGCACTGAAGCCGGAAACACCACAGGAACGACGGACTCTGTCGACCAGGTCTCTCCCACGATGCCCCGTGCCACAAAGAACCGAGTTTCGGGAAAACTCCGCCGATCAGCCAGCGCTATAAGCAAATCCTCCAACTGAGCTCTTCAGCCTTGTCTCCCTTTTTTCCTCCCTGAGTGCAGCCTTTAATCTTTTATCGAAGAACCTCACACACCCAGCCGTGACTGCAAGAGATTCTTTTTTTTTTTTTGACATGTTCTGTTTTTCTTTTATTTTGTGTCATATAAACATGTAACTGGAGCATATTGCAATTTTTAATTTAAGTAGCAAATCATTTGATTTTGTTGATACATTTCCATTTGTCGTGGTGTTTAACTGCTTAATCAAGATGGACATGTGACTAAGCTATTTATGTTCATCCTGGTGGTTCCAGCTTCAGAATCAGCAACATAGGAAGACTTGACTGAGAAGTCTTAACGCAACCTGTGATAAAAAAAATGTCATTTTTATTCTCATTTTATAGTGCAGACACGATGCACTAGAGAAAAAAGTTCTTACTATAGTAAGGGAATGGGAGACTGCTTTACCCTGTTTCTATATCTCATCTATCTTAACACTTAATGTGACAAGCACTGAATGACACAGCTGTAAATGGCATCATGCTAAAACTGCACAAGAGATTGGTATCCATTTATAAATGTGTCTGCCTTTTTACCTCCTCCTCCTCCACCTGCCACAACCTTTCTGTGTCAAAGATACCACTTCAGTTTGGACCACGTCTGTGGACCATCTCCCTACAGTGAAAAGGAGAAAAAGACTGAAGCATGGGGAATACCTCTCCAGAATGATTTGTACTCACAGCGCTGCTACACAGACTACACAGTCTCTGTAGTGCATGCAGTCAGACGCTTTTTAATTGTTTTGAAACCAGAGTGGACAATCAATGACGTCTTTCTAACTTGCGCTGAATAGAATTTTTTTTTTTTTTATCACTCTAATTTTCCTTTTTAAATGAATTCCGATGGATTGTGTCATGATTTGATTTATGCAACTCTGCTGGAATGAGAAAAGACTGCGTTTGTAATTGTTTTCTGATGTCGTTAACATAGGCTCATGTCCGGTAATCGAATAAGTTCCCTCTGTCTCTTTCCTCTGCTATCAGTTTCCCTGTCCTGTGAAGCTAAGACATTGACATTCCAACGTTCCCGACCAACGTTTTTGCACTCACTGTCATTGATTAACTAGCATTGAATGTTTCTCTTTGTTCTTGGATGTTAATTGCTTTAAGTTTTATTTGCTGATGTCTGTTTGCTAGGTGTATATAGAAAGGACTATTTGATTAATTATTTTTGCTGTTGTGTTTTATGTATTCATGTGCTGTTTAAAAGGAAAAATACCGCCAGAGCCTCAGGTGAATCTTAACTCCATGCACTGGTGTGTGTGTGTGTGTGTGGTGTGATGTGTGTGTGTGAATGAATGAATGAATGAATGTGTGAGTGTGAGAGAGAGTGTGAGCTTCAGAGGGAGCTTCTCACAGTGCCTGTGTAATGTCTGCCCCCTAAAATGCTGTCCCCCACCCACCCCTACTACCCATAATCAGATTTTAGTTTTTCTTCTTTATCGTTTGAGACAAACCATGGAAACCCCGCATCACAGCTCCTCGTTAGCAGTCAAAAACAAAAGTGTTTTCCTCTCCTGCGACTCTAAAGGTCACTGTCTTGTGCTTCCCACAAAAAAACAACAAACAACAGATGGATTTGGAATCGTGGGGTTCTGTGTTTAGTCTATATTATAGGTGGTTTGCTGCTCTGTCTATCTGTGAATGGAATCAAGTGGCACCGACTCCTCCTCTTTCCCATGATCCTCTCCCCCTGTCGCCTCCTGAGGCCACAGGAGGCGTTTGGGAAGGGGTGGGGTGGCTGTGTTTTAGGTGGCATGCCAGAGCTGAACTCTAACAGCCCTCCTAGCAACAGCCAGGCCGGCACTCACACACTTTTCCAACCTGCCCGCTTGGGGTTGTCATGGTAGCCAGGTGTTCCCCACATACACACGTTATACACTCACACCCTCTGAGGGCTCCACCCAAGCTGCAACACTATCCCCATCTGTTGCACTACTATGCCTTACTTTCCCCCCCATGCTCTCCTGTCATTTTTTCGTCCTCCTCTCACATCTTTCCTCCTTTTGTTTGTTCATCCCCCCCTCCCCCCTGAAGCAGAACATGGGGAATCCAAACAGCAGGAGGGTTGATAGATTTGTTTTTGTGCTTTTCTTTTTTTGAAGAATGTATAGATATATAGGCCTGGATCAACATGTTTGGTTTTTATTTTCCCCAAAGCCACTTGAAAGAACCACCCAGGATGCTGATCTAAAGATTGTAGGTTATAGATGATGTCTGTTGAAGGGGTCTGTGCTCCCCCTTTGGTGGCTTAGTTGCTGGAGATGTTAGTTTGGACCAAGATAAGGATTGTGTGTCTTATATACGTGAAGAAAATGAGCTAGTGTTAGTCCTAGTATGTTTTTGCTTTTCTTCTCGTTTTAGAAATCCTTGTACATTGTGTCAAATTTGAGGGCTTCTGCGTCCTCTGAATATAAATATATTAATGCCTGTAATATAATCTTTGTATAAGAGGAAAAAAAGCTTGAAGATTTCATCATTACTTGTCAACATATCAAACTGTTTTTAACGACCGAAGTCCTGCTATCTTTATTAGAAATGTGAAAATTGAAACATTTCATTAAATCAATTTGAAATTCTATGTATCTTTGTCATTTTTCCCCTCTCAGCTACATATCAGTTAATTGTGTAACCTCTGATTTTGTGTGCATTTTATCTGTGTGTGTGTGTGTGTGTGTGTGTGTGCTGACATGATGGTGCTGTTACCATGGGCTTTCTGACCCTGGCCCTGCAGTGCGAGCAGCGGCAGCAGCAGCAGGGGTAACCTGACCCTCCTCCCATCTGTCTCCCCTGCTGCTCAGCCTTGCTTAGGGGAGGCCAGCATAATGGAACCTCACCAGGAGGTACAGGTGCAATGGTTGCAGCACCTACGGGTGCCCAGCCTCGCCTGGGTCACATAAAGACGCAAGAAAAGCACTTGACTGTAATTGGATCCTTAAAACTGTGTGTGCGTGTGAGAAAGGGTGAGAAAGAAGCCTAATGTTACCTCATTTTCACCCCGGCTCAGCGCTGTTTGCCTCAATCATTGACTCTGAGGTAGTTTACAACAGAACAGGCAGGGGCTGGATGTCCCAGCCCCTCCGAGGCTGACATTCTCTGTGATTATGACCAGATTGTATTATTTCATGTGTTACACTGCTGGCTGTAGTCTATTTTCACACTTCAAATATCTATCTGTCTTGATGCATTGTCACAGAGGCCTTAAGGGGAAGTAACACTCATTTAAAAAAGTTTGTGTTATGCTTTTTGGCCTTGGACAGGTGCAGAGATTAATGAGCAGGAGCAACAAAAAAAGGAGACTCAGGAGTTAAAGTCAGTGAAAGAGTGATTTTTTTTTTTTATTTATTTATCCTCAGCAGATTAAGAAAATTTTGCCATTGGTGATCATGCTGAGGGTAACTCCATGCTAGCAGTGTCTGTGTGTGTGTCTATAAGTCTGAGATGACACAGTTGGAGGCTGCCTGCTAAATTACAGCTAACTCAGTGCTTTACAGGTTCTGGAGGTCAGATATGAAGCCAACTGAGCCCTGTGTCCTAAATCAACATAAAACCAACCAAAATCGAGCTGCATGAGTCTTCCAAAGCAGACAGATGTTTTACTGCTCCAGAGGTGAGCTGTGATCCACCACCTCTTTGTCCTCCTGTCATGTCCTGACACGGCATTAAGGAGGGAATTTATGATTGGGCCCTAAGTGCTTCTCTATGGCAGCAAAACGGCGTCTATTGAGCCACTGCAGCGATGATTTACTGCGAATCAGCCTGATAAACGGGGAATCGAAGGCAAAGGTTTGGCCAAAGGGGGCTTCTAAGGTTTCTTTTTCCCGTTGAGGACGACTGAATGGATTGGCACTGTTTTGGAGTGTGAGAGAGATGACGGTGCAGAGGAGAAAGGAGTTACAGTGCTTTTGAATGCTGACATTGTTGAATCTTGTTTGGTGTGAAGTGTCGCTAACCTCGGGAGGCCCGGGGACCCTACTTTGGGAACCAGCTCTAAACCACCTGATCGGCTATAAAACTAAAAAGTAAAAAATGTACTCCATGTAAAATCTCGATGTGCTATAGACAGAAATTGTGTCAACTTTTTTTTATGTAATAAGGTCCTAAAGGCAAACAATACTTGCATAAATAAACTCTTAAATTGAGATTTCTTTATTGTAGGCTAAAGGTAATATTGATGAAGAACTCCTGAGGGGTTTAATTACCGCAGAGTAATTGTTTCACTTTGTGTCCTGAAAATAAGACCAGAAAACCAGAGGCCTTTTCCAAAAGTTCACGTTTTATTTTAAGTTAATCTTTTCTATGTATTCATTCCCTTGTCATGTTGGCTGGGTTATATGTATTCTCAGACTTCCCTAAAGAGAACAAATTACAGAAACACACCAAGATTTGGGAGCACCAATCAGATTATTTCAAAACTTAAAGAAGGCCACTGAACAATGTCAGTAATGCAAAACTTCATAGAGAAAAGTGGTGATTTTACTTGAAGAAATAAAGTTCTCTAACACGGTGTGCTTTTCCCCCCCACCACATCTGAAAAAGTGAAGCCACTTTGTGTCCTTTTGAAAATATTTTATTTCGATAGACAACAACGATATACACATACAATCAAAGCGCTATAAAAGCCACGATTAAGAAAAATAACTTGTCCTTAAAAAAGATTGCATCTAAGGTAAGAGCTTTACGTTTTTTTTCTTTTTACAAGAGCTGTGGAGATTGAAGATTAAAACCCGACCCACGACAATTATCACAACTCATACTGTAAATTAGAAAAACAAAAACAAAAAAAACATTTTGGCTATCAAGACATGTAAACTGCCATAACGATTCACAGGAAAAAGTCACAACAAACACAACAATAAGTTACATAAAATAATTAGAATAAATAAATAAATAAACATATGATGAAAAATATTGCAACAATCTTCAATAATAATAATAATAATAATAATAATAATAATAAAATATGTGCCAGCATTCAAAATTAAAACAGTCTATGATGACTTTTTTAAGGCAGTTATAAAGCGGGATTTGGATGTGTATGTAGGCTATGTCGGACTAGGCTTATTTGTATACTAAAGGCATTTGTGGTTCTACTAAACAGAGAATGCTTCAGTCACTCTTTTTTTTCCCCCACCAATACAAAGTTGATAAGTTCTGTCATTCACAAACTAGCGTAAAGCTACAGTGATAGAGCAATCACGGTCGGTGAACTGGAAAGGCTTTTGATGGGGAAAAGGATTTCTGAGAATCTTAAGACATTTCTTAGGTCTAGAAGCTATCATTGAACACATGTGCTGTCCTAGAAAAATACCCTTTTAACAGTCAAACTAACGCTTTGTATTGTTTTTTTTTCCTCGATAAACTAGTTTGAGAAAGAACATCTCAAAATAGGCCTATATGTAATTCAAATATAGAGAGAAGCATTCAACAATCACTGATTGGCATGGAAAAGACACCTCATTAAACACCACTTAAACATCAAACCGCCCTGCCTTTCATTGGCCTAAAGTTATGGCAGCGAGCATCACAAACTCTTTTTTTTTTTTTTTAAACCCCCGAAGCCACTTTTTTGTTTCTCTTTTTTCTTTTTCTTTTTTCTTCCCCCCCTCCATGAAAGGCACGAGTTTAGTGTTGTCTTTAGCAGGCGGGGCGCACCGGCATTTGGAGCAGGATCACCTGCCTGTTCTCCGAGGGGTGGCACTTGTTTATGTGCCTGGTGAGTCCCGGCGAGCTGTAGAGAGTGGCGGGGCAGTATTTGCACGGGTAAATCTGGGAGGAGTGCATGAGGCGCAGGTGTCTCTCCTGACCGGCCCTGCTGGTGAAACTCTCCCCGCACACCGGGCACAGCAGGCAGTCCACCGGGCTCAGATTGAGAGGGCTTTGGTTTGAGGCTTCCTCTGAGGGTGATAATGATGAAGATGATGATGATGATGATGAGGGTGGTGGTGCTGAGGAGGAGGAGGAGGAGGAGAGCGGAGCCTGCTCTGCCGCACGGTCGCTGGTTTGAAACCCGTGCTCCTCCAGCACCTTCTTTTGCAAGGCCTGGTGTCCCATGATGTGTTTTCTTAGGTATGCCTGTCGCTTAAACCTCTTCCCGCAGAACTGGCAGTCGTATGAGCCATCTTCAGAGCCGGACTCGGACAGACCTGGACTCGGGGTGTCTCTGTCACTCATGTCTTTGGCTTCGTCGGACACTGACTTGACACCTAGCGGTGGCATTTTGGCCATTTCGGGTTTGATGCCCTGCTGAGCGGGTGACATCGCCGGTACGCCGGTGGTCCGGGGTTTGTGCCAGCGGCGGTGAGAGGCGAGGTTGGCCGGGCAGCTGAACATCTTGTCGCACTCGGGACACCGGTACTCGACCCTGACGATGCGGGAGCACTTGTGCTGAGCCAGAGAGAAGGGGTCCGCATACGCCTCCTTGCACAGCTGACACACAAACTCCCCTAAAGGCTTGTTCCCTCCAGAGGACTGCGCCCTCGGCTTCATCTCCACTGGCCCCTCTTTGATTTTGAGACCGAGCACGGGAGAAGTCGTCACCTCGTCTTCAAAGTTGAGTTTTCTAATGGCTTTGGGTTTCTTGGAGGCGGGTTTCGATTTGCGCTCCGCGCCGTCAGCTGCGGGCCTTTTGGTACCGACCCGGTTGCTCGGTGCCGGGAGGCTGCTGGTGGTGCCGCTGCGGCTGCTGTTGCTGGTGCCGATTTTCAGGTCTACCGGGGCGTACAGGAGGTGGTCCAGGCCAGAGAGGGAGGCAGGTGTCGGGAATGACTCGGCAGAAATAGGCGAGCCTAGATTGAAACTTCGCTCAAAATATCCCCTGTCGTGCTCCTTGCTGATGGGCCGGGTGGGGCTGTAGAGGGCTTGGCACACCGCCTCTGGGTTGCCGAACTGCGCCGGCTTCTCCAGTCTTGGTACCAGCGCCTCAGCTGCTCCGAAATCCGGCGATGCTGCGGCGCGGTCCGGACTGGACGCCAGGGACATCGGCGGGGAGGGGTCCGGCTGGTACTGCAAGGCAGCTGGGGCTGGGGTGGGTGGCTCCTGGAGGTCATCTTCGTCTGACCGAGTCCTGTAGGAAACATGTGCGGACTTCTTGTTTCTTTTTACCAGGAATCCTTTGGGCATCTTGGCGAGTAACAGCGGAAAGGCACTTCGGGGAGGTGGGTGAAGTCTCGAGTATCCAGGTTTGTTAAAAATATGGCAACACTAGAAGCTTATGGGACTTTATCTCCCTAGTATATCGATCCTTCTGTTGCTGAAATGTTTTCGTCTCCAAGGCATAGCTCCACTCTTTTTATGCCGGAATGATGCTATTGTTCTCGCCCCCCCTGTTGCAGCATCCCCGACCAATCGGATGAAACCAAGATCCCAGTGGATTTGATTGTGGGAGGGCTCAGAGCCTGGGTTTGGTGGATTTCGTTGGAGGATGTGCAGATAGCTTAGCAGATGTACTGGCGGTTTATTACATTAATGTGTGCGCTCAGCCCCTCCCCGACAGAGGCACACGCCGGGACCCTCCTCTTTTTACGGTCTGATGGGCCCCTATACAACTGCACACGTGCCACGGCTTTGTGGCTCTCCTTTGGGGGCCCAGAAGCTGCCAAAAGGAAATGTCCGTCACTGCCACAATCATCACAATTTAGAATTAAGACGGGGATGAGACAAGCTTGGTTAAATACAAACCAAAATATCTGTTTCTTTTAGTTGCTGCTGTGATGGTGTTTAAAGAGGCGATCCATCTAATAGACACAGCTGTAAGGCCAGGTTCTCTGAATTCAGAGTTTCAGGTTATTTTATGTGTGTATTATATGTTTTGTTTTGTTTTGTTTTTACCTCCACGCCGTTTACAGTTGTTTATTTTCTCTATCCATGCTCCAGCCTCCTTTTACGCACGACCTTTACGCACTTTAGGTAGGCCTTCCAACGGACCAAATAAACCAGTTTTTTTTTTATAGACTTTAATTTTATTATGTCTCAAATAAACACCATAGAGGGAGTGTTTCTTTATTTTAGGGCACGTGTCTGTCTCGGTAGTTTAACTCGACATATAAATCAGACATCTCGCTGCATACATAAGTAATAAGAAGGCCCTCTGGTCTTTGTGCACAATAGCCACGTCTGCCCGTGCTTGGATATCCCTGTCTTTTTTTCTTTTTTTTTTTCGTTTGAAAGGCAAATTGACCTCTTAACTGTGAAACGGGACTCACGGCCAATCTGGCCTACAGCTAGACGCGTGCTGGGCGGAATCAGTGCTCCAGACAAAGAGGGCCGCAGCGAGGCTTGTGCTGTAAAAAAAAAAAACTGTACAGATATCCAAAGCTAAAATGAAGCTGCTGCTGTTGTTGCTGGATACAGTCCGGAACTGTTGTTTGCACAAATATGTGCTGTTTGCAGAATGTTGATTGGCATAGGCAACACACATTCTGCTGAAAGAAGCAGGTAGATTTACGTTTAATAGTAAAACATGTTGCATGATTTGTGTTAACTTAATAATTTCTTAAAACAAAACTCTATAGTTGAATGAAACTGCCTCCTGTCTGCCTAACAAAGACAACTTTTTCAGACAAATGTATGTGGCCTGTTTTCTGTACCAGCTCCCCTATGGTTTCTGTGCATACCTCTCATATTGTGTATTTCTTTTTCTCTTTTTTCGTTATAATGGCTAAATGTAGGCTGCAGTGCGCCACTTGGCAGAGAGTGCATTCTTTCCCTTTCAGTCGGCAGACCAGGGAGGAATTAATCTCCATCGTCGTACATTGTTCCCCTAATTTGCATAAAGCTGCAGTATGACCAAGTCAAATAATTACACAATCGGAGCTGAGCCGCAGGCCTGCGCCTTCCTTTCAATGGGCCTCTGTGTCCCCGTGCCTTCTCACCTGCCTGAAAGCACACCGTTACTTTGGTTAGATAGGGTTAAATGACTGATTTGCTCAAACTTAAAATAGTTTTGAACCGCTCTAAAGATAAGAGGTAAAACTAGATAGAAACTTTAAACGTTTTAAATTAGCGGCTGAGTTTGAATGCACTAGAAGTCATATTTTTATGTTCAGTTTTAAAGTCTGTTAGTCGCCTAATCGCTGCATGTTTCCCGGGCTTCACTGGCCCGCCTGTACACATTTATATTCGCTCCAAAATACATTTAAAACATCTAAAATACGTTATAAAAACGTTTAGTTCCGTGTATATCCTCTGCTCTGTTACTTGCTCTCCTGCCTCTATTAGTCGTGCTTTGTTGGGACTACAAGCTTTGATGGCATTTTAACGAGTTCCTCTTTCCCCCGTGATCATTGCTGTGGGGCGCGTGGGCCGGTGTGCTGCTCCTGGCTGCTCGGACGCATGCGTGTGTTTGATCAGTGGCGCGTGCTTCCCTGGCGGACGGGAAGCATAGGCGCCTCATTAGCATACAGCTGCTGCTGCTGCTGTAACGCAGGCTCAACCACATCCTCCCGAATCTCATCGCATGCTATGGGGTTTAAAATGTTGCTCTCGTTTTCATTTGGCCCGTGGGCTATGCTGTCAATGTAATGAATTCGATTATGCGATAAAAGTTGAAAATATATAGATAAGTAAGGTTTTAAAATTGTTTTCTGTGATGTGAAAGCCTGTTTCTTTACAGTTTACTTTAAATTCGTCCAGCTTTCTACTAATAGTCGCTATCAAATGATACGTATGATGTTATAGGCCTGTTAGTTTGTGGTTTAACCAGAAGTTAAAGTGGTAGTTTCTGTGCTTCTGGCCTCATAGCCCAGTTCTTACTTCATTGCACCACCTACAGGATGAAGAAGAATTAATGCTGAGAACAGACAAAAAGTTTACCTCCAGTGCCCAAAGCATAGCATTCAAATCTCTTTGCAAGCATCTTGACATTCTGTTTCTGTCGAACATCAACAGTTACCAAGGGAGCTGTGGAGCAGTTTGGTTATTTCACAGAGATTAGATTACCCTTATTCTCACCACAGATGCACATAACCCTCCTGTACTTCCCAGATGAATGATTGGCTCCATGTGCTTTGCCAACCCGAGCCAATTTGAAAGTGCAATAGGACATGACTGTAATTGGTGCTCACTACATGGCCACCTTCAATGCATTGTCAATCAATTATTGTAATGGATTAGCTGAGGTCCTATCCTGGCTGGTTGTAATCTGATAGAGGGCTCTTTCAGCACCATGGAGAGAGCCAGCGAGGGACCCAGATTTAATCAGGCTGGCTGTGGACACAGCACAGCCTCGGCTTTAGCCTTTGTCCCCGAAACTGAGAGCAGGCAGGCACCAACAAGAGGACAATGACACAGTAGAACAAAAGTGGCAGAGTTTAATGAACTGATTGTTTTTTAAATATAGTTGTACATGAGCATGTCCAAAACTCATTTAAACTATTTCTACAGAGGGAGTACATCTCAGTTCTCCTTTTTAGTTGCCCTGTTGTAGTTTGTTTGTTTATTAATCTACTTGTTTCTTAGTGTGTATACTTTATTTCTTTATTAATAAGCGTATACTCACATATTCACCTCTGCTGTAGGTTGTCTTTAATCTTTTGGTTGTGTCTGCTGTTTTTATGGAACAACTCCCTGCTTGAGAGCAAGTGTCTTTTTCCCTATAGGCCTAATTAGCCCTGTTGCTATTTGTTGACCTGCTCTTTCAGGACAGGGATCGTTACCAATGAAGGCATTCACTGGCCCTGACAAATTTACAAAATTAACAAAATTATTTCTGTTGCTATAATACTTTTTCCTGTCATTTCCAATGAGAAGAAATGTTTCAGTACAGTTATAAAACTTGACCCTGACGACAGTCTATGGAACTTGAATCGAGATACTTCAGAGTTTACTACAGAGTCAGGACGTTTTCTGCTATATCTTGTGTTTTCAGACTTCTTTGCCATTTTATACATTTGTTTTTATCAAAGTGTGCAACTGTTTGGCTCCTACACTCTTGATTCCCAATGACTAGTTTCTCATGGAAAACCTGGAAGGGGAGGGAGTCAACATGTCACTCTGGAACAGCAGTCAACCTGCACTTGTAAAGAGCAACAATAGTAAAAGGTTTGTAGCAAGCTTCTAGAAAAAAAGTCGGACTGTAGTATCCAGAAGATCAATGGGGAAATTGCCTGTTTGGCCATGAGAGCAACACAGAGGTCACTGTCTAGACTTTAAAGTGTACTTTAGAAGGGTGCCCATGAGACCAGGTTACTGTGAAAAGCCCTGTAAAGTGGTGCAGCTCTGAGCTTAAGACTAATGGACCTCGGTGTTGACTGGGAATGTCCCTGATGTCATCTGTACTTTTGACAGTGATGCTGATGACTCTATGAGGACAAGGACAATGTTTCTGGGCTTTTATTTATTTTCTGAAAAGGTTCTGTGGAGCTGGCTAATAACATGGATCTTTTTGCATGTATATACCCTGCAGTGGTATTTCGGTCCACTGTAAAATATGTATGAAATGCCATATCTACAATTATTATGACTCCAGGGAAAACCATAGATGTGTTTATTGGTTATATCTAATGTTGTGTGTGCACGGACATATGAACAAAGGCTTCAAAGGGACAACACCAGATTTTATTTTCCTTGTAAAGAGCCTCTTATTAAAAAGAGGTCTTCCTGCATATCAGTTGCTGGAGTCCCAGGGGCACGTTTAGCTCTAATTTACTCATCAAAAACATCAGAGTGTCTCTCAATAATCTCCGCAGTCCATTGGTTGTTTGGGGTGGAGTCCCCTGTCAGAAAGCATGCCCTGGAATGTTAAACACTAATTCACCTCTGAGCTGTGGAGGTGGATAAAGTGATTGTTCTATCTGGGAGCTGATTAAAACGGCTCTGGCCTGTTGCTCCCCTCTGCGTTCACCTCTGACGTCCACCACATTCATTTCTGTATTCATGAGCGGATGAGAAAGCGCAGGCAGAGCGGCTGCCGTATTACAGATAATAAGGCCAGCGGGCACCACATTCACTGCCACAGGTTTCCCCCTGCCCCGGCTCATTCAATTACTTCACAAGAGTCCTCTGAGGCACAGCTGCACTATGGGGGTGAAGAGGAGTAAATTGAGGTACATTCATGTAGACACACACACACATACGCACACACCTCACAGATACAAAGAAGGGCAGGAGGCACACACCGTAGCAAGAGAAGACAGCATATAAAGGATCTTACTGACAAGCATTTGGCTTAGTAGTCAATGCATTTCTCACGCAAGAAGACAACAAAAAAGGTCTGTCCTCTGTTGCTCACTGGCTCCC